CCCCCCCCCCCCCCCTCCCCCCCAATAGACAGGGCTCTGGCCTCCATGGTGGGACATGAGCCGTGAGAGAAAAAAAAACAAACAAACAAACAAGCGGTCTATGTCTATGCAGGGAGGGGGAAAGGGAGGTAAATGGCAAGACGAGCGAGCGGTGGGGAGGCCGAAGCGCGCATCCGCGGCAAGGCCAGCCGGCACATGCCGGGGCTGTCAGAGGCCGAAGATGCGGCTGGCCGCCAGGTCGGCAGTCAGGCCGGCCGGGAGCTGGGCCTGGGCCTGGGCCGCACGGCCGCCCCCGCGGCCGCCCACCTTACCGGCCCAGGCCCGAACCAAAGCCCCGGCATTCAAGTCCGGCCGGTCGGTCGGCCGAAGGACCACCACATGCAGGCCCCCAGCGCCGAGGACGGCCACCACATCGACATCCATGTCTCCGGCCAGGTCGGCGCCGGCGGCCAGGATGCGCCCGCGAGTGGCCGCCTCATCGGCCAGGTCCTCCGGCAACCGAATCAAATGCAGGCGAATGGGGGCACCCGTCTGGCCGTCGGCCGTCGTCGGGACCTCCACCCGGGTGGACACCTCCAACTGCGGCAGGAGCCCCTCAACTTGGCGACGCAGGCGCCGGAGACCGGCCCGGTGGTCGGTGGCCGAGGCTTCCAGGCGGTCGATCTTGTCCAGGGCCTCACCGGTCCCCGGGGCGTCAAGACGCCGGAGCAGGGCCTGCTGGTCGCGGCGCATGGCCATCAGCTGTCGAATGGCCGAGGGGCCGGCACAGGCCTCCAGCCGACGGATGCCCCGTGCGGTGGACACATCGCCGCCGAGGAGAATGAAAGGCGACAGGTCACCCGTGTGAGCGGCATGCGTTCCGCCGCAGAGTTCCGTCGACACATCGCCCACCTGCATGGAGGGGTCAGAAAGCCGGCATGCATACAGGCAAGGGGGGGGGGAGGAAAAGAGGCGGGCAGGAAATGCCAAAGGGGGAGGCAAGGAGGGGGGGGAAGACAGCGAGAGGGAGAGGGAGGCTGGGAAGACAGCAGAGGCGAGAAGGAGGAGGAGGAGGAGGAGGAGGAGGAGGAGGGGCAGGGGACGCACCGAAACCACTCGAACCGTCTGGGCATACTTGTCGGTGAAAAGACCGATGGCTCCGGACGCGAGAGCCTCGTCCTGGTTCATTGTCTGAGATGCCAGGGGGGGGGGGCGGGGAGAGAGAGGGAAAAGGGGGGATGGTGCACCAGTGTCAGAGGGTGTAGACAGGGCGCATCTTGCAGGCGCGCGGACAGCAGGCGGAGGGGAAGCAGAAAGAGACGCACGGCCAGAGAGACGGGCAGCTGGGCATCGGCCACCGACTGGCAGAAAGCCTCCACTTCCAGGAGCTGGGCATCGGTCATGCGATCGAGATGGGTGAAGTCGAAGCGCAAGCGGTCGGGCTCAACGCGGGAAGCTGATCCGGGGACCAGTCGTTCCATGGTGAAGTCAGGATCGGGCGACCGGCAAGGGGGGGGGGGAGAGAGAGACAAAAAGACGGATGACGTACCGGCCTGGGAGACATGGGGGCCGAGCACATGCCGGAGGGCGGCATTCAGCACATGCGTAGCGGTGTGATTGGCGGCGGTGGCCCGGCGGGCATTCATGTCCACCTCGGCCAGGACGGCCTCGCCGGTCTGCGAATGGGGAAGGACATGCAGCGCAAGGGGACCACCAAGCGAGAGGTCAAGCAAGGGGGGCGGGGAGGGGGGGCATGGAGGGTTGGTCAATGGGCGCTGGATACCGGAGGCGGAGGAAAAAAAGGGGGCGAGCAATTGGCCGAGAGAGGGGGGCAACAAGGGGGGGGGGGGGGGGGGGGGACCAAGCGAGGCAATGTGCGCGTCGGTCAGGTCGGCCGGGTGGGCAACCAGCAGGAAGGACAGGTGCTCGCCGGCGGGCAGGCAGTCCAGCACTGGCAGCGGCTCGGGGCGCTCGGCCAGGCAAATGGTGCCAATATCACCCACTTGGCCACCACCGCGGGCGTAGAAGGGACACTTGTCCAGGGCCAAGACGATGACCGAGTTGGCCTCCGGATGCCCGAGAGCCCGCAGGCGCTGGGACACTTCCTCCCGCAGGCCGGCCACCGCGTCATCCAAGGAGTCCAGGGCCGCGACACCGGCGGCCACCACCGTGGTAGCCACCGGTCCCTTTAGCATGGGCGTGTCCCCGACAAAGGTGGAAACGGCCCGGCTGGCTGCCCATCCTGCAAGACACGGACAGGAAGGAGGGGGAATGTCGCGCGCAGGGGTGCATGGGTGGGGGGGGGAGCGAACCAGCGAGGCAATGTGCGCGTCGGTCAGGTCGGCCGGGTGGGCAACCAGCAGGAAGGACAGGTGCTCGCCGGCGGGCAGGCAGTCCAGCACTGGCAGCGGCTCGGGGCGCTCGGCCAGGCAAATGGTGCCAATATCACCCACTTGGCCACCACCGCGGGCGTAGAAGGGACACTTGTCCAGGGCCAAGACGATGACCGAGTTGGCCTCCGGATGCCCGAGAGCCCGCAGGCGCTGGGACACTTCCTCCCGCAGGCCGGCCACCGCGTCATCCAAGGAGTCCAGGGCCGCGACACCGGCGGCCACCACCGTGGTAGCCACCGGTCCCTTTAGCATGGGCGTGTCCCCGACAAAGGTGGAAACGGCCCGGCTGGCTGCCCATCCTGCAAGACACGGACAGGAAGGAGGGGGAATGTCGCGCGCAGGGGTGCATGGGTGCAGGGGGGGGGGAAGGGGGTCAGAAAAAAGGGACAAGGAGGGCCACAGGCAGATGGGCCGCGAAGGGAGAGAGAGAGAGAGAGAGAGAGAGGGAGAGGGAGGGAGAGAGAGGGAGAAAAGGAGATCAAGGCAAAGGCCCGTCCGACGGACCCTTGAGTACAGAGCCCAGGCGAGGAAGCCCGGAGCCGGGGCCGGCACCGGCGGCCGTCGCAACGGCGCTGTCAACACCACCGGCCGCATCGGCAGCCAGGTGCAGCTGCCGATTGGCCAGCCGCGACTCGGCCAACAGGGCCTGTGCGCCATCCAGGTCGGCCGGGATGCCCCGCTCCCGGCAGAGGTCGGCCGTCGTGTCGATCGGCAGGCCATGCGTGTCGTACAGGCGGAAGATGGCCTCGGCCCCGAGGGTGCCTGTGAAGCCCGGCTGGCGGAGGTGGGCATCCAGCGTGCGCACCGCCCGGTCGAGAACCTCCGCAAAGGCACGCTCCTCCATGGTGATGATGGCCGAGGCGGCCGGCAGCGCGGCTGCCAGGCGGGCCCGGTCCGCGGCGGCCGAGCTGCGTGCCACCACAGGCAGGAGCTCCGCCAGGAATGGCCGCTGCAGGCCCAGCTGGCGCCCGGCCAGCACCGCACGCCGGGCAATCCGACGGGTAATGTACCCACGGCCGATGTTCGAGGGGAGGATGCTCTCCGACAGCAGTTGCAGCAGGGCGCGGCTGTGGTCGGCAATCACTCGAACCAGGGGGCTGGCGGCCAGGTCATCGCTCGAGGTCGAGGAACCGGCGAGCCCGTCGCCCCGGACAAGGTCCGCCGTGGCCAGGCAGATGGCACGGAGTTCGTCGGTGTCAAAGTTGCTGGCGACGCCCTGGTCCCGAGAGGAGTGACGCCCAAGGCGGCATGGTGAGTAACCGCAACTGAGCACATGCTCGAGAGGGAGGCAGAGGGAATGGGAAGAGGGGGAGGAGGAGAGAGAGGAGGGAAGACACAGAGAGAAAGAGAGAGAGAGGGAGAGAGACAGGGGGAAGGAGAGACACGCACCTGAACCACACTCGCCAGGCGCTCGAGCCCCATGCCAGTGTCGACGCACGGGGCAGCCAACGGGGCAAACTCCCCCGGGCGAACCGGCCCCCGGCCAGCTGGCTCAGGCCCGAGGACATACTGCATGAATACCAGGTTCCAAATTTCCAGCCACCGCGCGTCCTCGCCCTCCGAGGCCAGGAGGTGCTGGGGGGTCATCTCGGCCAGGTCCCAGTGGATCTCCGTGCAGGGGCCGCACGGGCCGCCCGACACACCGGTGGACCAGAAGTTGTCGTCGCGATCGCGGAAGCGGATCCGGTCATCCGGCACGCCGATCACATCGCGCCACACGGCGCGGGTGTCCTCGTCGCCATGGAGGACCCTGCGCTTGGGTGGTCAGTCACATGCACGGGCTGCGAGCAGACACGCGGGGAACAGGAAAACCGGCTTGCGTACGTCACCATCAAGCGATCGGCCGGGAGACCGACCTCCTCCGTGAGGAAGGTCCAGGCCAGCTGGCAGGCCTCGCGCTTGAAGTACGGCCCATGGGGCCAGGCCCCGGGGCTGGCTCCGGCAAACCGGCCGAAGGAGAAGTTCCCCAGCATCTCGAAGAAGGTGTGGTGCCGCGGCGTGTGGCCCACATTGTCGAGGTCGCTGTTCTTACCTGCCGACATGCGGGCCCCGGAGAAGGGGGGAGCCGGGGAGGGAGGAGAGCAGGGTGGCAGGAGTGGGATTGGCAGGAGCCGGGTGGCCCAGGTAGGCGGCAGACGTGGGATGAGTCGAGTGTGTGCGCGCATAGGCGTGTGTATGCGGAAGAGAGACAGAGAGAGGGAGAGAGGGAGAGAGGGAGAGAGGGAGAGAGAGGAGGAGGAGGAGAAGCGCACCGCCCGCCCGCAGACAGCGCTGAATACTGGTGGCATAGGGCCAAGGAGGGCTCTTGGAGCCGAGGAAGTAGTCCTTCAGCGGGGCCATCCCGGCCGCCGTGAAGAGGAGGCTATCGTCGCCGGCGATCCCCGGGGCCGCGAGCGGCGCGCTGTCCAGCGCCTGGTGCGGGAAGCTCGCATGCCGCGAGAAGAACCCGGTGAATGCCTGGCGGAGCTCCTCCACCGATCGGGGGGCCGGCAGCGGCCCAGGGCCGGGCTCACGGGCGACGGGCACATTGGCGGCACGAACCGCGGCCATGGTCGCAGGCTGTGACGCCGAGAAGAACGTCCGAAGGAGCGGCGCAGCCGGTCGCCGGCCGGCGAGCTGCCCACACGAAAGCATCGTAGAGCAGGAGACAGGGAGAAGAGCCGAGAATCGGGCGAGGGCAACAGGAGGCGGTGCCGATCGTGCTGGCCGAGACCCGGCGCCCGTGGTGGAAAAATACCCCCCGCCC